TATAATACGAGAGCAGTTTATTTTCGTATGTACAGCACAGCACATTCCTATGCTATTCTCGATTCGCGGTCTTGTTCCGTTACGCTAAAAAGTCGTTCGCTCGTTAACGGCAGTCACAGTCTGCAATCGTGAAAAGAACAATTGTAGTAGCCAACGCAGAAGAAATTTTAGCTTACCAAAAGCTTTTTCATCTGCTGCCATTCTCTAATTCTTGCCACGTCTATCATACAAATCGAACGTACATAACAGAAGAGTGAAATACAAGCTAAATATATCAAATGACATACTAAATTGCAACAAAAGTGAATGTTTTCAATTGCATATTTTTAAAACGAAATTTAACTTCATTCTCAGTTTCATCATTTAAAGATAAATTGAATAATTTCGGAGCAGATTGAAACATTAAATTAAGGCAACAAAGTATTTTTACTATATTCTGGAATATTATTATGGACACACGTGCTTACATAATTTTCACTCTTCAATTATGCGGAATTTTCCTTAAGTTATGCTCGTTTAATGATAGCTCATATAGGACAATCATGCAAGAGGACAAATAATGCTCCGGTGCAAGAGCGTTCTCTCTAAAGTTTGACAATAGCATTTTGCCGTCATAACGCCATACGACACAAACGAAGTTATATACGTGCAGACAGAAATGGTACGATAAAAGTATAGCCATAATGTACCAACAGTTCTATTTTTTCATCACGACAAAACACTCGGCGACAGTCGACAACGTTCATCTGCTTTCGCAGTTTTCAAAGCGACTTTATGTTTCTATACGCTCGCGCTAAACACTATTTTGCATTCTCCGCGTACGATACTGAACTCAAATGTTACTGTATCGAATAAAAAATAATTGTATTACTAAAGCGTATTAATGAAAGAAATTTAAACCGGATTTAGATTCAATTTTTATTCCTATCTCTGCCAATACGAAAAGTATGAAATAAATTTAAAAATATATAAAATATAAAAATTAAATATAAATATAAAAATGAAAAAGTTGTATTTTTGCTGCGTAACTCATTTTCCTAATTCAAATATATTCATTATTCCTTACAACGTTCACTAAAACATGTCTAATAATAAGCGAATATTCAAAATTTTACTGTGTTGAAAAATGTACATAAAAAAATTGCAAAATATTTTATTATTTCATAATTTTGCGTGGCAATTATTAATATTTTAACACTTTCGTGTGTGCAAATTAATAGTACGCGTATCTTTCAAGAAACTCTTGCTCAAAAGATATCATATTACGCTATTAAAACTTTAGTTTCTCTATCCACCTGTACACATCAAAAAGTCAAAAGGATGTATATGTTGACTTTGAATTCTTTTATATATGCACATATATACATACATTTATATTCATTTCTTTATTTTTGCAGTTACTTTCTGTGGGGAATTTCTCGTATTATTACGTGACCGAGAGGGACTATAGAGCAAAAGAATCACTCGAGCATGAATGCATATACATGTATAAAGTGGCTCGGGGGTTAAGTGGCGGGTACGGGCGCGCATAACGGTACTAATGTACATTTAATGTCTTAACTTTGAATGCGGTTCGCGGTCCGCCGCGAGATAACATTTTAAATATGTTTTTGCATTTATGCGGCTGACCGGACCTCGCGCGCCGACACGTCGCGAGAAAAGAGCGAGCGCGCTGAACGGGGCGAAGGAAAAAAGAAAGTTTTTAACGCAACGATTGCGAGCTCGACTATGCTCCTCTACCCTTCCCAGGGCGCAGCAGCTAAGGTACTTTTTCCAAGGGATTTCCCTCCCTGCCTTTCCTCTATTTCTCTTTCTTTAGTAGAAAGGCTGCATCAAGAATCTACGATCTTACTGTCGACCAGGGAATACCAGAAGTTTTTCCATTCGCCACAACGACAAAAGAAACGAAGTGGCGCAGGAAAACGCCCTTATTTGACTCTAACATGACGAACGAATTTTAGCGGATTCCATGAGGACTTGTCAGAGATCGGCAGTCACAATTTCCGAATATTTATTATATAAATGTAAATGTTGTTTTATATCAATTTCAGTGAATTTAAATCTGATATTTAATGATAAAAAGTGAACAAAAGCATATAAAAATAGTTTTGAATTAAAATACTTTACACTTTGTCAAATAATCTCTTGCTTCTTATCAATTTCAAACTTACATTTACATATGTCCCTAAACGAAAAAGATTTGCGATCAATTTAAAGATTAAACTCGAGAATCTCTTTCCCTCTCGAAAATATTGACTGAATCATATTTATGATTTGAAAAACTTTTCCCGAAACGAGATATGACGTACAGAGAAATCTATTACGTCATACAGGAAAATGTATGTACGAGCGATCGACTTGTCTTGTTACTGACATCATCTTTCATTCTGAACGAAAGAAATCACGATCTTCACGAATAAACAAACGTAATTTAAGCTGCACTATTGTGTATGAAACTAATAATGGAGACAATGTGTAGCGTCACGTTTTTTAGCATTTTAAAAACCATGATAAAATCTAATAAAATAATTTAATTGAATAGAATAAGGCATCAAATAAATTATCGAAACCGGTATACTGCTGTAAGAACGTTTCGTAGAAAAATGTCGCGGATCGAAAGTACTCGTATATATATTTTTGTTTTCTTTCACTTATTCTTAGGATACCTCATCGTAGAAGTTTCCGCTTGCAATTTATCATTCACAATCGTTGCGAAGTAGACCTCTATTATATAAATCGGAAATCTTTCAAGTTGTCACTTTGCAGTTCGTATCGTTCAGTCAATAGTTTCACACTGACAATGAGATCGTCAAACGTCAGATCTTAATATAAAGCGAAAGCAACAATTCAACACAGGATTTCCGCGTAATTGCATTCCAGAATACGTATAATTGCAAATTTCGGCCACACTGATTAACATTTTGCACTAATTGCGTATTTCAAGTGTAAATTATTTCTCCAAGTTACGTATTTCAAATTATTATTGCAAATTTTATTATTTGCCGAATCTACACTGTTTGTATGTACAACTGACGCTTTCCCATATGAATTTAGGCATATATCGACAGGTTTATACATACATTTTGCATATATACATACATGGAAAATGCGTTCTACCTGTGCCTAAATTCATATGGGAAGGCATCAGAGATTCCTAGTGTACATACATATATGTCTTCGAAATATATAAAAATGATTCGTGTTTAAATCTTCAATTTGATTTGCTTAAGCAACAGAATAATCTTATTAGCAAATTTGGTGTGATTCGTGTTAAATTTTTTGTCTCTCCGCGCAAATCAAGAATTTGTAAGAATTGTTTCCTTTAAAGTGAGTGTCTCAAAATCTAGATTATTTCATGTATAATTATTTACAACAAATATAAATACTTTAGACCGGTATCTATGTAAAAAGCGTACGAAGGCTAGGGATACCTAAGTAGTATGTTCTTCAAATGACTGACATTTCGCGATAAATTCCGCTCTGTAACGCGCACTATCACGCTATTCTGCACAGCCTCATTGGTCCATTCAGGGAGCCGCCTACTAAACTGACATTATTGCGCGTAACGTGAGTGCACGGCGTATTCGAATTTATTCGGTGTGCAAGCCGTCGACAGGTTCGTTCGTATGCATAGCCCGGCATGTTGATTGGCTTGCACGCAAAGTCGTGCTCTCACGCCGGCAAAGTCCGCCGTCCGTGGGTGCTCTGTGTCCCGCACCAGGCGGATATTGCATACACGCGTTGTATTAATATGTATTTAAATTAGTGCCTCAAAGCGATACGAAATTACGGCGTTCGCTACCATAGACGGCTGCCGACGAATTACACACGCATTGCTTAGGCCGATGAATGACGCGATGTCATCGTAATATCAAAATCCCAAGAGCTTTCGCACCTCTAGGATCGTCCTATCGTTAATTTAGCGTAAACTTATTGCGAACATTCAAAATTCGCAGTTCCGTTTGTTCCGTTTTCTATCTACGTTAAGGCAAGAAAGTAAAAGCGAAAAATGGAGCGTTTATACTGAACAAATGTGGGGAGGAATATCCTGAATGTTTTATTAGAGCCGAAAGAATTTTCAATTAGAAAATGCATAAAGCATGTCGGGTACGTGAATGTCATAATTACCGACATTTATGAAATACATTTATGAAAAATTTGTTAAAACCGGACTGATGTGAATCTTACAATTAATTAGAGAAAATGCCATTTTTCTCTAATTAGTCGGCTGGATCTTGATAGCCTAATAACAATTCTACGTGAATATTATATATTTTTTAACTCATTATCAGTAAAACTGCATGCCAATTATTTATCGATATTAAAACACAGGCATTTTCTCTAATTAATCGTAAAAATTTATTTATAAAAAACTGTTAGATTTATCAAATTCGGGGAGAAAATTACACGCATTTGATTTTAACTATTTGTATATGACTTTTTGTATTAACTGTATTTTTTCAATAAATAGTATAGAGGCAAAAATATAATGGCCTATATCGCGATTGCAGATATAACTCGCTGGTTACGAACGAAAGTGAAAAACAAAACATGTATAATGTAATTAGTTAGAGACAAATTGATATGCAAACAAGCAATAGTGAACTTCAAACCCATAATTGTGGCTCGTAGTCAATCTTATATGAATCTTGTTTAAAAAAATCGAGTAAAAGTGAAATTAATTGTAATTTGATTTTGTGCCACATTCATTATTAGAAATAAACTAAGAGTGTAGTTATTTTCGTAAAACATGAAACAAATATTTTCGCGAAACCTGATACTGTTAAAATATTATGCTATTTTTGTGGAGCATTCTGCAATATATTGCGATATTTTAAGATTATAACGTTATTAAACATCTTTATAAGATCTCTGTGCTCTCTATATTATTTATGTGTTATATTTATATATTTACATTCTTAATTTAATATATACACAAGTATATCTTATATAATTTCTTCGCACAACCTCTAATAAAATAATATCAATTCATCACTCACCAGTACGATGCGCCGCGACGGAGTTATGAGAACATTGAACTGTAAGCAGATATATTAAGTTATTGCAATGCTTAGTAACTACGAAATAACTGTTTCTTGCGCATAAAATTATGATATATAGTTCATTATGCAAATGACAAATACATTAAAAAATAAATTTACCTCATAGTCGCTCCGCCGTTGCCTGATGCCTCCTAAGCCCCGTCATCCTCTCAGTCACATCTGCACTCGCAACACTCGCGAAACGCGCGTAATTATGATCGTCTTAATTGTCACAATAATATAACAACACGGCACTCCCGACACAACGCGCATTTTTCTATTACAGATTGCGACAGAAAAGTACCACAAGAAAGATATCGTAAGCTCTATGATCCTTTTATAATCACTCGACATTTAGCACTCTCAGGTAGTAAGAAACGAACAAATTACTTGAGTCGGTGGAAAATTTAAAGCGCACTACGAGATACGCTTAATGAACTTCAAATTAAAGTCGTTGAAAAGAATTTTCATTATTGGCGATACAAGTAAAACAGTAATTTATAGCTTCCATCTTTTATCGCTTCGACTCCTTCGATCCCGTGAGCTCAACACCGCGCGAAATAAGTTGCCGATGCATTTGCAGTCGTTAATCGCAGATAGCTAATTAAACGCGCGAGCGCAGAGCTGTTAATTGTTCGAAAAAAGCAATCGCGATTCGATGGATAATGCGGAGTGATACACGAAGCGATTCCCGCCGCCACGAAGGTCTAGACTAGACTGAAGTCGCACGACCGGTGCGACGTGACTCGCGCGTATACAATAGTGTGCCATAAAAACCGCCAAAAGTCTCGCGGTAAATAGTTACGAAAAATTCAAACGTTATAAAATAAATGTGAAATATTCTTTACCTTGTACTTTAATTAAATACGCGGACGCTTAGCTGTTAATTCGAAAAAAGCAATCGCGATTCGATGAATAATGCGGAGCGATACACGGAGCAACTCCTGTAGCTACGAAGATCTAGACTAGACTGAAGTCGCGCGACCGGTGCGACGTGACTCGCACAAAAACAATAGCGCGTCATAAAAACAAGCGCGAAGGCCGCGCGGTAAACGGTCTCAAAAAAACTGAAACGGAAAATAAGTTTGAAATATTCTTTTCGTTGCGTCTCAATTAAACGCGCGGACACTGTTAATTCGAAAGAAGCAATTGCGATTCAATGGATAATACGGAGTGATACACGGAGCAACGATCCCGTCGCTACGAAGATCTAGACTAGACTGAATGAAGTCGCGCGACCGGTGCGACGTAGCTCACGCGAATACAATAGCGCGTTATCAAAACAACCGCGAAGGCCGCTCACTCACTAAACACTCACGAAAAATTCTAATATTAGATAACTATGGAATATTCTCTTCTTCACCTTTTAATTAAACGCGTAGATG